CCCATTTTAATTGCAGGTTTGTACACAGTATTTAACTATGCTACATGGGTTTATCACCCGCACTTAACCTACCTGGGAAGACGCGTACAATATTACCTACAGTTGTACATACATAAATTTATGTATTTAGTTCACCCAATGTGCCGCTACTACTTACATACATATGTATAAATTGCCACTGAGCAAAACTACTTGAGAAAAAAGCATTAGTTTAATAGCACAAGTGCAACACCGTACACGTGATAGAAGTAAAACTTTTTTAAAAAAAGCACATGTGTGCGCCCCACACCAGGTAGAAATCTTAACAAAATTAAACTACGAGACAATCAGGCGAATGTTGTTTATTGTATCCAAAGTTGGTGCCAAGTTGCTAAGTTTTTATCATGTCTCATAATTTTTTCTTTATTTTTAATTTCTTCGAATACAAAGTATATGATCATTCTTTTCGCTTTATTCCGTATTCGAAAAATTATATGTTTCAATGGACACATCAATTTGAATACATAATTTAGATTTAGATAACATTTTTAGCAATTTATTTGAGAAAAATAAAACATTCAGATTACTGTTTGTATTTTTGTCGATTTTAAATTTGCTACCCCAAAATAATTGATATCAAATAAAACACCTCTTTGAGGTAAAATTTTCGAGTGACGAAAGCTGAACTAGAAACACAAAATTTATGATATCAATTTCGTGACGAAAATTATACGCATTTTTTAACTGCCTTTGAAACGTACGGAAAATTTTTTATTATTTATTCGGAACGTTGCGAAATTCCGTCTACTGCTAGAAACACAAAATAAAAAGCAGAACTTTTGCAACGATTCGTATGAATAAAAAAGATTTTCCCTACGTTTCAAAGGCAGTTAAAAAATGCGTATAATTTTCGTCACGAAATTGATATTATAAATTTTGTGTTTCTAGTTCAGCTTTTTTATGGCTGATTGAAAATTCCACGCCTACGGGATGTGCCACGCCCCCTTTTATAAAGTCATTCATATATACCTTACTATAAGCTCCTATCATAGATATGTCTGCATACCAAGTTTAAATTTCATGTGACTTATGGTTTTGAAGTTATAGCTGATAAAAATTTTCACGCCTATGGGAACTCGTTTATATATACCCTCCTATAAGCACCTACCATTGATATGTCTGGATATTAAATTTCAAGTTCGAGGGACTTATGGTTCCGAAGTTATAGATGATAAAAAAATCCACGCCTATGGGATGCACCACGCCCCCTTTTACAAATTCATTTATACAGACCTTATTATAAGCA